GGGGAGAGCCCCAGCCTGCCGTCGCCGCCCATCCGGAGCTCCTCCTCGGGCGAGGGCACCTGCGCCGTGTGCGGGGACAACGCTGCCTGCCAGCACTACGGCGTTCGCACCTGCGAGGGCTGCAAGGGCTTCTTCAAGGTGAGCGCACGCCTCCTCCCGGCGCCCTTCCCTCCGCAGCCAGCCTCCTCAGCCACCCGCTCAAGTGAGCAGATAAGTGGGTCCTTCCCGATTTGAGAGGTATCATTGTTGGACTCTGCGTTCCTGTAGCCTAGCACCTTCACGTCCATGTTCTCAGGGTGTCTGACCTTGAAGTTCATTACAGGAGGCCGCCCCAGATGGATTGGAGGAGCTGTGAACTTCCTGACGTGGCATTATCTTATGATCATTTTTCTGGGGGAAGCTTTCAGCAGATTCTCAAAGGGATCTGTGATCTCCAACGTGCAAAAAACCTAATTGCATTTCTCCCCTGTCCATCCCGAGGAGAAGGGTTTGTGTGCCAGGCCGTGGACATTTGTATCTCATGTCGTCTTCATAGTAAGAGCTAGGACTGTTGAATCAGAGAGACCTGAGACTGGATTCTGGCCGCTTACTAGCTGTTTTTTATTAAATGTCTTGAAGGTAGATCTTAATTATCCATGTTTCATAAGTGAGGCGATGGAGACTTGGAAAGGTTATTCAACTGCCCAGGACACACACTCAGAGAGGGAGAGGGAGACAGGATGCCAGCTCATGTTTGCATGACCCCAAAGTGCACATGGCCTTCACACCTCTGCAGCTGTAGAACAGGCCACTGACTAGATGCAGTTTGGGACAGCCCCCTTCATAGAAGAGAGGAGCTGGGGTTTCACCAATTCACTCCACCCCTGAGCCACACACAATGCCAGGTGTGGAAGTTGTTCATGATCTCATATAGACCCAAACGAGAATTCTACAGGAGGGTCTTCAGCCTCCACCTATGTTACCCATGAGGAAGCTGAAGCCCAGAGAAGTGAAGTCTCGGGTAGCCTGTAAACAGTGATTTATCCGCATGTGGTGACTCTTGAGTTCGGTGCTCTTTATAACACTCAGGGGAAAGAGGCCTTGTCCTCTTGCTGCTCTGTTTTTGCTATTGACTCCCTGGCTTCTTCAGACAGTTAATTCTGTGCCACTTTCCCCAATCCCCACTCCCCTGGCCGTTATCTCAGGCATCTGCAAACCCACAAATGGTCTCCCACAATAATCACTCCCTAGCCTACATGCTGGGCAGGGTGGAGGAAAAGGGGAAGCTGGATGCTGATTGGGTAATAGGATTTAGGAGGCCAACAGGATGTATCTGGGAGCAGGCGGGACTAGGAGAACACTCAAATAGGAGGCCTTGATCTGCCACCTACCAATTGTATGACATTGGGCATGATACTTCTTTCTAGGCCTCAGTTTCCCTATCAGGTGAATAAAATCCAGAGAAGGGCTGTGAGAATTAAATGGGATAAAACAATTATGAAAGCATTTTATAAACTTTCAAGGGCCATAAAAAACAATAGTTCATTATAAGTCAAAACTACCAAGTATTTGAAAAATGCACGTGTTTGTGTATTGGTTATCCTACCCACAAGCAACGGTTACTTTTGATCTGGGAGTAGAAATCATGTGATTAATTACATTCTGCAGAAAAGCGAGAAAAGGCGTATGGAAAGACTTTGCAGCCATACCGAAGGCATGTACAGGATTATGATATTTTAAATATAGAGCCCCAGGTTAGCCCTTTTTTAGTCTTAACTACTCAAGTTTTACCAGGGCTGCTTTCAAGGAACTGCATTCCTTTCACAAATTGATTTTTACATCATTTCAGTGGAAATGCTGAAGGAGGGTGAAACAGGTAGCCAAAAAAGGGAAAAGGAAGAAAAACAATTAAGAGAAATGCAAGTAACTTCAAATATAACCATCCCTGAATAATTGAGAGTTGACCAAAATACAGGAGTCGTAATACATCCCGTCTAGAAATGTCAATTAAGTGTTCCCCAACAGGGTTCCTTTTCTGCAGCAATCCCTTGAAAACAAATCTATATTTGAAAGGGCGGGGGGTAGGATGGGAGAGAACCATCCCACAGATCTGTTAATTAAGGGAATGGGAGCAGGTTTTACCCAGTGGCTTTCTACCATTAAATTGAATTCTTTAAAAATGTGACATGAAATGCAGTTAATGATGGAATTCAGTGATTGAACTGTAACGATCTCTCCTTGTCCTTAAACTGTGCAGGCACACATGACTGTGGGAAAGGTTTCAGGTTATTGGAAAAATGTATACCTGGAGCAAAATGCCGCCAAGCACTCAAATTGGCATATAACCTTGAGGACAATGGCAAGAAATAGGGTTTTAGAAATTACTGCATGTTCGATGAAGAGAACTTCATTCAGGAGGCACCAGTTTCCTACCCGTAAAGAGTGCTGAGAATTTAAATGCTGGAAACTGAGAAGCATGTTTGTGTTTTTGGAATTTTTACATTTTAAACTAATATCACCTACAAATGTAGTCGATGTTTCTAGCTCTCTATCCCTCTCCCCTCCTCTCTGTAAAAATGTATCTGGCTTTGTTAGATTTTTTTAAGTTTTATGTAAGCAAAATGATCTCCTAAAGTGAAATTAAAAGATGATAGGGTGAATACTGGTAAATGAGGGCTGAGAATTGCTGAAAGTAAAGATTGAAAATAAGCCTAGAATTTTGGGCAAGAAATAGATTACCAACCCCAAATTACCCAGATTTCTTTTCTTTTTTTAGGCTTATCAAATAAATTTCAACTTTCTGCTCTATTTGGAATTATATAGATTCAGGTAATTTCTGAATGATTTTACCCCAAGTGGTAAATACCCACTTCCACACACACGCTTTTTGTGGGGTTTTTTAAAAAGCCTCCCTTGTATTTGGAGCATAAAATTATGCTCAATTATTTCTCCATGTGCCATTTTTAAATTACATGTGATTCTGACGAATACAGCATTATTTTATATCCAAGTCCAAGTTTTATGAAGTAGGTTTTACAATATGGCTATTTTGATGTCTATGTCAATAGTCATTTATGAAATAACCAATCAATAGGAATTTTAATTGAAAATATATGGCTCTCATATTCCTTTCTTTCTCATTCCTTTTTGTTTTGGTTTTTCTTTATTCCTTTCTCGGATGTGATAGTGGTTTTTAGTGTCCAATTTTAAGATTTTAATTTTAAATATAAAAGAATGGCCATCTACCTTTTTAAAGATAAAGTACAACGGCTGATTACGGGATATTTTTTGGGCATTTAAACATTATTTCCTATATACTTTAACTAGACAAGTCCTGATTTTTGCTTTTTATGATTTCATCTCTATTGGGAAACAAAGCCAGTTACTGTAATATTTGACTTACAAAAGTGATAGCCAACAAAGTACATCCCAGATAATTTTGATTTTATTTTAATAAGGTCAGCAATAATCAGGGGAGTGGAACAAGTAGAAAATTGTTCCCAGAGGGATATTAAAAGTGGAGATAATCTAATCCTCCGAGGTATGATATGTTGACCTGGTAATTTCAGATATGATTTTATCATTCACACTGGGATGTCTCCTGAGACTTGCTTCAGAACAATCTGAGATGATTTTCATTGTCAGCAGCTAACACTAATAAAATTGTTTTTCCTGCAGGCTAGCGTGTTAGGAAATTAAATTTATCTAATTATACGAATTGCACTGTCGCTTTTCACGTTGTAATTAAAATACATCTTGTCAGGTTCTACCTCTTTCCAGAAACTATTAGTTGACTATCTCTGTATTGTATTTTCTCAGAGAACGGTGCAGAAAAATGCAAAATATGTTTGCCTGGCAAATAAAAACTGCCCTGTAGACAAGAGACGTCGAAACCGATGTCAGTACTGTCGTTTTCAGAAGTGTCTCAGTGTTGGGATGGTTAAAGAAGGTATGAATATAATGCTTTTTATCCAACTTGTTTATATGTGTTCTCAGATATCACTGAAAAAAAATGCTAATATTTACATTAGAATGGTCAGTTTTCCTTTCCTTCCAAAGTTTCGTTGTTACAGGGTATGTTTACATTTAAAAATAGCTGAGGACTACTTTTCAATTCTAATTTCTCAAAATCAATAGAGAGCTTGTGTACATACATCTCTGCTCTATTTAAGAAGGAGACTTTTAGGACTAATTCATTACCAAATATAAGTATGGAGTGGCTCCTATGCTGCTGGTTTCAACTCTCATTGAATCGTTGTGTGAATACTATTCCAAACTTATTGCCACTTTTAAATGGTTGGTCTCATTAATGATTGCTCAACTGTTTTAATTCCTTTTTGTGATTTATGGCTATTCATGAATATCTTTGAAGACAGTCTTTCTCTTTTTCCCTTGCCATCAGTTGTCCGCACAGATAGTCTGAAGGGGAGGAGAGGTCGGCTGCCTTCAAAACCAAAGAGCCCATTACAGCAGGAACCTTCCCAGCCCTCTCCACCTTCTCCTCCGAGCTGTATGATGAATGCCCTCGTCCGAGCTTTAACAGACTCAACGCCCAGAGAACTTGATTATTCCAGAGTAAGTTTTATAATGTCCTGCTTTTGAGTGAATGATCAGGGTCTCTACTCATGATACTAGCAATAAGAGTTGATTGATTGACTTTGTGCCTGCCAGTGTGCTAAACAGTTTTCATACCTTTTCTATATTTCTCACTTCATTTTGAAATTCCAGTGCATCCATTGAACCAAGTAATTTTGCCTTACTGGGTCTCTGAATCCCGTAACAAATGGTCTTGACAGTGCTGCATCTGTCATACCCATTGTTGCAGGATTCCTGGTGGTTGTGCCAATGAAAATCTGCACAGGTGAATTACAATTTGCAGATTTCTTTCATGGTTTAGACAAAGTGACTGCTGGTTTTTTCATATTGTGGTCAAACCTTCTGGGTGAGCTTTAAGTTATCCTTAAGCAGTTTACCCAACTGCAATGGCATTGATTGATCTGCTGCTTATTCGAGGGATTAGACCATTGATAGAGAGGAGCAAGCTCTGGCCTTGACATCAGGAGGACTGGGATGGAACACCACTTCTGCTGCTTCCTAGCTGTGTCACCTGGCTCATGCCCTTGGCTTTTTCATCCCTACAGTGGACATGATTACAATATTTAACCTCAGAGGGATGTTTTGATCACCAGCCACACAGGAAAGATGGTTGAGAAAACATTTGAAGACCATAAATGATTACCACTATTGTTATTTTAGTCAACCAAAATATCTCAACGTTTCTATTTCATATGGATGTACTAAAATGTCATCAGTTTGAATTCTGAAAATTGCCATAAATTTAGATAACAAAGAGAACCACCACAAGAAAGGATTTTCTAAGCTAATGTATAAATATGACTTTAAGGCAGCTTTTTAAAAGACTTGGAAAAGTAAACTTCTAGTAAGACTGAATCTCACCAAAGATGGGAAGGAAGAAAAAAAGATCATAATTATTGGGCAATTTCTGCATGCTAGACATTGTGGTTCATTGTCTCATTTTAACCACTTAAAGAATCATGAACTGTAGGGATAGTTACCCTCACTCTAAGACAAGAAAACTGAGAAACACAGTTTGCATACAAATCAAAGAGAGACCAGTCCAGGGATCCCCAATTGGTTGGTCTGGCTTGGCAGCTCCTACCAGATTTCCCTGCCCA